ATATATTTTTTATAAAAAATTTAGAAGAAAAAAGCAAAAACGGGAATGAGGTCAAGGCAATTATGGACCCCCCCCCCGCGCCTCCACACACACACACACACACACACACACACACACAGAAAAGTCCACCTCTCCAAGAAAGGAAAGATATCTGGCCGAGGACTTCGCGGCAGCCTCACCGATGCCCCTCCACAGGAGGTCCCTGGCCTCCTTCTTTATCAGCTACTCCCTGCAAACTTCCATCAAAGACTGTACTTGACCTCAGCGGGCGACCCTACCGGTAAAGTGAGAAGCAGCCCGCACTTGGAAATCGTTTCTTATTGTGCTCCTGCCATTGGCTGTGCTCACCGTCCCCCTCACTCAGAAGAAAGCCTCCCCTAAGGAGGCGCCGGCCTATTTTATTCTGTGGACTGCCCAGTGCTCGCTGTCCCTTGAATATGCCCATCAGGGGGTCAATCCCGGAAGAGCAAACGACACCTTTCAACTAAACAAAAGCGACCGAACAGGCTGTGGGCAGGTTCTGCCTGAGGAGCGTCCTCAAACTGCCCACCAGCCAACATCACTCCCCTAGGTCAGTGGTCGGCAAAGGCATTAGTCAACAGAGCCAAATATCAACAGTACGATTGAAATTTCTTTTGAGAGCCACATTTTTTAAACTTAAACTATATAGGTAGGTACATTGTTATTAACTTCATTAGGGTGTTCCTAAGGCTTAGGAAGAGCCACACTCAAGGGGCCAAAGAGCCGCGTGTGGCTCGCGAGCCGCAGTTTGCCGACCACGGCCCTATGTTCACGGGACTCGCTTTCAGACTAGAGAGAAATAATTAGTCTCCGGGTGTCTACTCACAGATCCGCCGGTTAGAAAGAAACGATGATTTTCATCGGCTTTTCCCATGGAAAATAAATGAAGTTATATCGCTGATGATTGGGAAAAGAGAGTAAAGAAAAAATAATGACCATCAGCCACCCTAAGACAACCGTCACTGGCCGGTGTAGCTATTTCTTTGGGGTGCTTTCGTTGGATTTTTTTTTTTTTTGCATAATTTTAGTTTCATTATAAATTACGGAATGGGTATCTTCCAATCAGGGCAACGTAGAAAATAATCACACGCCATCATATAAAAAGAGAATAGCCCGGCCTGCGTGGCTCAGTGATCGCGCGTTGATCTGTGAACCAAGAGGTCATGGTTCGATTCCTGGTCAGGGCACATGCCAGGGTTGCGGGCTCGATCCCCAGCAGGAGGCAGCTGATCCATGATTCTCTCTCATCACTGATGCTTCTATCTCTCTCTTCCTCTCCCTTCCTCTCTCTGAAATCAATAAAAAACACATTTTTTTAAAAAAAAGAGAGAGAGAGAATATATGGCAGCGGTTCTCAACCTGTGGGTCGCGACCCCTTTGGGGGTCGAACGACCCTTTCACAGGGATCACCAAAGACCATCGGAAAACACATATATAATTACATATTGTTTTGGTGATGAATCACTATGCTTTAATTATGTTCCATTTGTAACAATGAAATTGGGGGTCACCACAACATGAGGAGCTGTATGAAAGGGTCGCGGCATTAGGAAGGTTGAGAACCACTGATATGTGGTCTAATGGTCACGGTCTACCCTTGGCGAACACTTTCCATGTATCAAGTTATTTCATCATCTTAACAACCCACATAGTAACTGCTTTTATAGTTCCCATTTTACAGATGAGAAAACTGAGGCACCGAGTGGTTAAACAGCTTGCCTGTGGCTGCACGGCAAAAAAAAAAAACCCACTTCTTTCTTTGTGCTCAAGACCCTGGAATTCGGGGCCGTTGGGGCCAATGACGTCACCCTTCACGCACCTCTGGGCCCCTTCAGAACGGCCTCTCACGCACCCCTCCTCAGCGCCTGGACCCTTGGCTGGTGCCTGTCCTTCGTCCTGGCCCCTCCAAGGACGAGTCTCTGTCTATTGATCCCCTGACAGCACTGATTGATGACTTGCTCGTCGCCTCTTTGTTCTACGACATGGAAGTCCATTTCTCCCGTCTGACACCGTGTTGAACTCTTTATTTCACTCTGAGCCCTTTACTAGCGCGTGTGCGGATGGCATTCTGATTCCGTCTTCTCTCTCCTTTTCCCTCTCCCTCCCTCCCTCTCCTTCCCCGCGTACACTAGCGTAAGCTCAATTCATCTCTAAGGGTAATTAATGGCAGGAGCCTCGACCATGGTAGAGCTGTATGTCTGGTGAAAAAAAAAACGTACCCTACCCTTTAAGAGCCTGAGGCTCTTCCAACGTGTAGATCCCACTTGGGATCACTTTTCTTGTCTCTTGCCAACTCCTACTGTTATAAGTGCTCTGTGAGATCACACTTTCTTAGCCTCCAAAATGCCCATCAGAAACTTTCAGGGTCCTATTTTCTTTAAATAAATGAATAATAATAATAAATATATATATATATTTCGGAGAGGAAGGGAGAAGGAGAGAGAGAAAGAAACATCAATGATGAGAATCATCATTGATCAGCTGCCTCCTGCACGCCCCCTCCTGGGGATCGAGCCTGCAACTGGCACGTGCCCTGACCAGGAATCTAACCGTGACCTCCTGGTTCCTAGGTTGACGCTCAACCACCGAGCCACGCTGGCCGGGCTGTGGTCTTATGTTCAAATAATACCTCTGGCTTCCCATGGGTAATCCATAACATAATCCAAACACTTTAACAAGTTTTGCTAACAACGCTTTAAACAATCATTGCAATTATTGACGGCTTGATATGGATGACTACAATAGAACTCCTTTTGCTTGCTTCATAATTATAACAATATTGTATTTCTTTCTTTTCGCTTTAATACTCTAATTTGGATAATTATCCAACAGAGCTCCTGGCAACCATCTGGAAGATTTCAGAGAGGAAGGGAGAGGGGGAGAGAGAGAGAGAAACATCAATGAGGAGAGAGAATCATGGGTCGGCTGCCTCCTGCACGCCCCACACTGGGGATTGAGCCCGAAACCCGGGCATGTGCCCTGACCGGGAATCGAACCGTGACCTCCTGGTTCATAGGCCAATGCTCAACCACTGTGTCTCTCACATCAGTGTTTCTCTCTCTCTCCTCCTCCCTCCCTTCTACTCTGTCTGAAAATCAATGGGAAAAATATCCTCAGGTGAGGATTAAAAAAAAAAAATGCCAGGGTTCAGGAACTCAACCATCAGAGATTATAAAACCCTACAACTCGATGACTACATCACCTATCAAAGTGGACTGCGTGCCGAGCCTGTGTGGTTCAGGGGTTGAGCGTGACCTATGAACCAGGAGGTCACGGTTCGATTCCCGGTCAGGGCACAAGCCCGGGTTGCGGGCTCGATCCCCAGTGTGGGGCGTGCAGGAGGCAGCCGATCCATGACTCTCTCTCCTCATTGATGTTTCTCTCTCTCTCTCCCTCTCCCTTCCTCTCCGAAATCAAAAAAAAGTATGTGTTTTTTTAAAGTGGCCTGCATTGCAGTGGCTCAGGACTGTACCGGTCTGGCCCCGCCCAGACATCCTAAACTTCTCCTACATGTAAGGACACAGCGACAGACGTCAAAGACCCAGGCTGGACCCCCTGCTCGGCCACTCGCTGGATGTGATTCCTCGGCCTCCCTTTCTGCATCTATAAATGACGGGCGTGAGTGCCACAACTCCCCAGACCCCTTTGCATTCTAACGTGTGACGCCAGCGGCCACTGAGAATCTCGCAGCGGCCAAGGCAGTCTAACCAGTGAGCAGAACGGCGTCGAAGGCAAACACGGGCACTGCAGGAGTCTCGGCCCCGGGGACACCTGGGCGCGCAGGTCCCCGGTGAGACGGGAAGAAAGGCCGGGGAGGGGGCGTTTGACGGCTGCCTCTCTCCGGGCCCGACGGGCAACAAGCATGTTTTAGAACAAACACGGCTCGTTTCCAGCCTCGCTCGGGGTGTGCGTGTCTTGGATGAGCGTCTTGAGCTCCTACGGGGGATCCACAGATAATACTAGCTGTGTATCTCGCAATCTGGGAAACAGCAAAAATCTCTCTCCAGGCAGCAGGGCAGATGGGAGAAGGGCGGGCCGGCTTCCCCGAAGCAGCGAGCCACGTGGCTCCAGCTGAGCCTTTCTCGGTGGAGAGAAGAAAAAAAAAATCCCCATTTATACGCGAGCATCTTTGCCGGTGGAAGGCAAAGATGTTCTCGGTTACTATCTTCTCTATCTCCTAGGCGCAGACGTGGCGCGAACACACTCATCCTTCAGGCTTAGCGATACCTGCGCTCACAGATGCACATGTTATTATAAATATGCTAATAACGCTTTGCATGAACACAGAGGATGAACGTGCTCTGCGGAGATGCGTTCGCTCGTTAATCCTCAGGGTGCCCGGGAGATCGCTAGGGGCGAGGGACGGGGTGCCAGCTTTCTCAGATGCCAGGCGACCGCAGGGTGTACGCAGTTTGCTCAAGTCTGTCCGGTGGACCGTCTGCAGGGCCTGAGAGGATGCAGGATGCTAACTAACCTCAGGTCTGGACTGGCCCACACCGCACCCCTCTCATAAACACAGCAGAGCCCGGATGGTGTGCCTCAGTGGGTTGAGCATCGTCCCATGCACCATGGAGGTTGCCGGTTCGATTCCCGGTTGGGGCACAGGCCCGGGTTGCAGGCTCCATCCCCAGTAGGGGGCGTGCAGGAGGCGGCCGACATATCTTTCTCTAACACCGATGTTTCTATCGTCTCTCCCTCTTTCTAAAACATCGATAAAAACGTATTTATAAGACACAAACATCAGAGACCTCACTGCAGTCATTCGGCATTTCGTTCACCTCCTCGTCTTCTCCGCCCTGATCCTTCTAACGCCGGCACCCGCGGCCGTGGGAACCCCCGGGAAAGCTACGAGGCTGCTGTCAGAGACTCAGGGGGTTCCCAAGCTTTATCTTCCTGCTTCCCCTCCTCTCCAAAGTCCACAGGCTGCCAATCTGCATCCCAGCTCACCGCACGCTTCCACCCCATTTCAACTCCATCACCTCACTCCAGTCTCACCACGTCACTTTTTTTTTACAAAAAAAAAATATGTTTTTATTGATTTCAGAGAGGAAACAAGAGGGAGGAAAAGAGAAGCATCAATGATGAAAGAGAATCATGGATCGGCTGCCTCTTGCACGCCCCACACTGGGGACCGAGCCCACAACCCGGGCATGTGCGCTGATGGGGAATTGAACCAAGACCTTCTGGTTCATAGGCCGATGCTCAACCACTGAGCCACGCCAAATGAGGTTAGCACCTTGTATTTTAACTTGAGGTCTTCTGAGAACTAAGCCCCTAGTCCAGCCGTGGGCAAACTATGGCCCGCGGGACACTGTACCCTTTTATGTAATGATGTTTACTTTGAATTTATATTAGTTCACACAAACACTCCATCCATGCTTTTGTTCCAGCCCTCCGGTCCAGTTTAAGAACCCATTGTGGCCCTCGAGTCAAAAAGTTTGCCCACCCCTGCCCTAGACAGTGGTCAGCAAACTGCGGCTCGGCAAAGCGCAGTTCACGAGCCATATGCGGCTCTTTGGCCCCCTGAGTGTGGCTCTTCCACAAAACACCAGCTCTTCCACAAAATACCGACTTCTGCGCATGGACCACGAAGTTTCAATCGCACTGTACGTGCGCGCCCGCACGTGGTATTTTGTGGAAGAGCCACGCTCAAGGAGCCAAAGAGCCGCATGTGGCTCGCGAGCCGCGGTTTGCCGACCACGGCCCTAGGGCACACGGCACCTCCTACACGCAACCTGGCATTGAGCAGCTCAGCATGTCACTCAGGCTGTCAGAATGTCGCTGGCCACGCCCTCAGCCTCCTGCTCTGTCCAAGAGATGGGACCCAAGTACTAGTAAAGCCACTAAGTCAGTGACCACAAACCCTGGCTGCCTGGGGTCCGGGGGCGCCTGAATGTTTCCGGGACCACCTCAGAGAGCCCCCTCGGTCCCGCGGGGTCATGCCGTAAAGAGGACGTTACCATGAGGGCCGTGTAGGTGTAGGGATAGTGGTAGGCCAGGTAGCAGACGTCGCCATGGTGCGGGAAGGTGACGGAGAAGGTGAGGGTGTAATAGCACTTCCTGGACGTGCCCCCGGTGACAGCCATGCTCTCGCGATAGTGATTTCTAAAAGAGAAAGGAGAAGAGAGGAGGGTGAGGGAGGCGGGAGGGAAACAGGCATTCGGGGTTCTAGGCCGCCAATATGGCCACTCGAACGCTGAGAGATGGCACAACTGAGCCATCAGCAATGTCTAGGCTGGTCCGTCGGGCCGAGGTGGCTCAGTGGTTGAGCGTCGACCTGCGAACCAAGAGGTCAGAGTTCGATTCCTGATCAGGGCGCATGCCCGGGTTGCGGGCTCAATCCCCAGTAGGGGGTGTGCAGGAGGCAGATGATCCATGATTCTCTCTCATCATTGATGTTTCTCTCTCTCTCTCCCCTCCCTTCCTCTCTGAAATCAATAAAAATATATTGAGGGGGAAAAAAGTCTAGGCTGGTCTGTCTGTCTCCTCATGGTGGCGTACATGTCATGGGACTTTTTCTGATGTGTCTGAAAATGAGTCTATAGAGTCCCTGAGACAAAAGACGTGAGTAATTCGGGTTACTTGGGGTTCTACTGCCGACATCCACTTTTTTTTTTTACCCAAATTTGGGGGTTCCCAGCCTCTGCCTCTCCCCAGATCACCCAGAATGCAGTTCTTCTCCTCCCTCCCACCTGCCCCGGGGGGCTCATGAGCAATCACTACTCTGTATGGCAGCGGTTCTCAACCTGTGGGCCGCGACCCCTTTGGCGGTCGAACGACCCTTTCACAGGGGTCGCCTAAGACCATCCTGCATATCAGATATTTACATGACGATTCATCACAGGAGCAACATGACAGTGATGAAGTAGCCACGAAAATAATGTTATGGTTGGGGGTCACCACATGAGGAACGGTATTTAAAGGGCCAGAAGGTTGAGAACCACTGCGAGTGTATCGAGTTCCAACTCGAAACGTAACAAGGGCATCTGATCACTGCAACAGCCCATCATGCAGATGCAGAAACAAAGGCTCGGAACACTCGACCTGCCGGAGGCCGAGAAGCCAGCCCGCGGTCCGTGCAGGACTCGAACCCAGATCTGCCTGTCTGCCAGGACTCTGTTCCCTCCTCTCCACACCGCCTTCCTCCCAAAGGGACACACATCTGTCACCCCCCAACGCGGCCCGGCTTCTCCTAGCTCGAGACCACACGGTTTCCTCTGTCAAGGATGAAGAAGCGATTTGGAGATTTCAGAGAACGGCATCCAAGTCCACGGCCCCCAGAAGTACGTTTCCAAACAACAGGCTGCACCGTCACGCAAAACGCGCCCAGACGCCCATGAGGAGGTGACCGTCTTCCAAGTCCTACACCAGGTAGAGTAGAGGCAGGGGTGAAGCAAAGAAGCCTTCCACAGCGCATCAACCCCAAGACAACGCTGCGTAAAAAGGGAGAGATGGACTATGCACCCCCAGGCATCCTCTGCTAGGGAGAGCTGTTCTGTTTGGTGGTTGAATGGCGATACACACACGGACCCTGGGCTTTGATCGCATTCCTGGGACTATGTTAACATAAGGTGCTGAATCGAGGTAAAACAAAGGACGCTGTGAAGTAGCAACCTTATCCATTCATCTCCGTGGCATTCACGGCTGGGAAATGAAAAATGGATTACATTATGCATTGATGGCTTCCATGTCAGCCCTCTGTTCCTCTTTGATCACAGAACAATGGTCTTGTTAATGAGCCTAAAAGCTATTAACAGTAACGTTGGCTTTCTCGGGGCTTAGGCCAAAGTGAATTTTTTTTTAAATATAACTATCAATGATGAGAGAGAATCATTGATTGACTGCCTCCTGCACGCCCCCCACTGGGGATCGAGCCCGCAACCCGGGCATGTGCCCTTGACCGGAATCGAACCTGGGACCCTTCAGTCCGCAGGCCGATGCTCTATCCACGGAGCCAAACCGGCCAGGGCCCAAGGTGAATTTTGGATGTGTGGCTTCTTCCCTCCCCTGTTGGCAGACTTTTTTAAAAGTATATTTTTATTGATTTCAAAGAGGAAGGGAGAGAGAGAGAGAGAGAGAGAGAGAGAAAGAGAGAGAGAGAGAGAGAGAGGTATCAAGGATGAAAGAGAATCACTAATTGGCTGCCTCCTGCGTACTCCCTACTGGGAATCAAGCCGGCAACCCAGGCATGTGCCCTGACCGGGATTCGAACCGTGACCTACCAGTTCATAGGTTGGTGCTCAACCACTGAGTCACACCAGTCAAGCTGACTATAGTTTTTAAGGGGCCTCTTGTAATCCGAGAAAAAGATAAGACTTAATTTATCCAAGAAAATAAGTACTAGCCTACCATTTTTATTAAAAAAAAAAAACAACACTAGCAATGAGCTGATAATTATTTATTTTCTACCTGTTCCAACAACTGCTATCCCTTTTTTCCATGTGAATTGGTATTTTATTTCCCCCTCCCAGATGCACACATAAGCAACTGATGGGTCTGGGATTCTTTTATCGAGAGCTATGGATAATATCAGTTTCATGACAATTTAACAGGAGACATCATTGAAAGTGGTTAGCAGTCAAGGGTTGAAGATGAATTTTGAAGGCCCTTTCTCTTTTATTTAAAAATAAAATCATCTGACTTTGTGTCTTTGTCACACATTCACTCTCATCCACTTTGCAAAACTGAAGGACAGGATGAACAAGAATAGACCAGAAAGACAAGTATCACCCGATCTCACCCATATGTGGAATCTAAAGAACAAAATAAGCTGATGAACGAAACAGATCCAGAGACACAGAAGCGTGGAACACAGGCTGACGAATCTCAGAGGGAAGGCGGGGGTGTGTGGGTGAGAAGAGGTCAGCCAAAGAATGTGTGTGCATATATGCATAACCCCGGGACACAGACAACAGTATGGAGAAGGCCTGAGACGGGGGGGACAAAAGGGGGACATCTGTAATTCTTTCAATAATAAAGATTTTTTTGATTTTTTTTTTTACAAAAGAATAGGCCAGAATTTCTCAGGCTTTTTTGCTCACGAAAAACCAACAGGAAAGAGGAAAAGAATGACAGCTTGACGCACTAATCACAGGTGGAGTCGGTACAACTTCAATAGCCAACCAGGTCTCCAGGTGCTAATGTGCCTGCAAACAGACAGACCACCTTCAGCAAATCAAAAGCTACTGCTTCCGATCTCCTGCAGGCACCATTTCACATGCTTCTGAAGGGCGGGTCAATTGCCACAGGGACAGGGACAAGTACGGCAGACAAGCACCTATGGCTGAGGTGTGTAAGAGCAACATGGAAAAGCAGGAAATGGAGAGAGAAAGAAAGAGCGGAGAAAAGAAACTAACAAATATCCGGACTCACTTGTAATAGCAGATTTCATAGCCCGTCCGCTTCCAGGTGGGTCTCCCGAGAAGGGCCTCCTTCACAGAATACATGGTGGGCTGCATCCCTACACAGAATAGAGGCCGGGTTAGTCCTCGGGGGCGAGAGAGCTGTAGCTGGCTGTCTGGTGGCCCTCAAGGATACCCAGGTCTGAATTCTGCAACCTGTGAATGTCACCTTCCACCACAAGAGAGGCTTTGCAGACATGATTAAAGGCTCTTGAGCCCAGCAGGCGTGGCTCAGTGGTTGAGCGTCGACCTATAGACTAGCAGTTCACAGCTCCATTCCCGGTCAGGGAACACGCTTAGGTTGTGGGCTCGATCCCCAGTGTGGGGCGTGCAGGAGGCAGCTGGTCCATGATTCTCTATCATCATTGACATTTCTATCTTTCTCTCCCTCTCCCTTCCTCTCTGAAATCAATAAAAAAATTTTTTTTAAAAATTAAAAAAGTTCAAGGCAGGGCAGGGGAGACAGGAAATAGAGGAGTACCATGCGTGGTATGAACATCCCACAGCAGACTTTGGCTTTCCCTGCCATAGGAGCAGTTTGCCACGCACTGGCCACCGTCTTGCCACACTTCAGCCCTGGCCGGTTTGGCTCAGTGGCTAGAGCATCAACCTGTGGACTGAAGGATCCTGGGTTCAATTCCGGTCAAGGGCATGTACCTCCGTTGCAGGTTCCTCCCGGCCCTGGTGCGGGGCAGGCGGGAGGCCACCAATAGATATGTCTCTCTCACATCGATGTTTCCCTCTGCCTCTCCCTCTCCCTTCAACTCTCTCCAAAAGTTAGTGGAAAAAATATCCTCGGGTGAGGATTGAAAAATAAAAATATGTGTCAACTCAACTTCAAATGCTTCGGGAACCCAGCGGGACTCTGGTAAGGATCCAAACGCTCTCAAGATGACATCATCCCTGTGTTACCCAGAAAGCCCCCGGCCCCCACCAGCTCCTACCGTAGTTAAACTGGCTGTTGGGCTTCTCGTAGTTGATGATGTTGAAGCGGTACGGGGTGGCGGCCCTCATGCCGCGCACCCTGAAGTTGAACCACTGCTGGTACTGGGTGCAGTTGATATCAGTGTTGATCAGCAAGTCGTACTCAAACCTGCCGAGGCGGGAGCAAGGGCGGAGGGTTAGACGTCTGTAAGGGAACCTCCCACACTCCCACACTGAGGATCGGCACCTCTCGGGTTCCCGCGGGCAGATCGAAGACCCGGGGTGGATGGCGGGTGAGTGACACTTAGCAGCCGCATCTCACAATATCAGACTCGGGCTGTGGACATGCCCGGCCGGAGGGGCACAGGGTCTTGGTATCAGAAGCGTCTGTTACACGTCCAGGGATTAAACCGCAATCAAGTGTCTAGCGAGCTGGAAAAATGCAAGTGCGCTACGGGCGCGGAGAAATGTTAATCCTGTCTGGTTGGAGAGCCTGTGACTATTTAAAGCGAGACATTGCCTGGGAGCCTCAGTCTCTTCACATGGAAAATGAAAATAGCATCCCAACTTCCAGTGCTGTTCGTAAAGATTAATTAATATGGTGTTTGGCCCAGTTGAGGTGGCTCAGTGGTTAAGCACTGACCTAGGAACCAACCAGGAGGTTACGGTTCGATTCCCGGTCAGGGCACAAGCCCGGGTTGCAGGCTCGATCCCCAGTAGGGGGCGTGCAGGAGGCAGCCGGTCAATGATTCTCTCTCATCATGGATGTTTCTATCTCTCTCTCTCCCTCTCCCTTCCTCTCTGAAATCAATAAAAATATTTTTTTCAAAAAAAGAACTGACTCTTGGAATTCACTTGTGGTGGATGCCAATTTGCATGGTGTAAACACCACCACCACGGCTGATGGCAAGCTGCCAATCAGTGGGAGGTCACTAAGAGCAGAGGGAAGAGATGGTCATACCTGCTCTCTTGAGCTGCCCAGGGCCACCTCGTTGCAGCTTTCTTTTATTTATTTTATTTTATCTTTTTTGGTTAATCCTCACCAGAAAATTTTTATTTTTTTCCATTGATGTTTTTAGAGAGAATGGAAGGGACGAGAGAGGAGAAGAGAAACAGAGAGAAGCATCGATGTGAAAGAGACACATCGACTGGTTGCCTCCCACACGTGTCCCAACCAGGGCAGGGGATTGAGCCTACAACCAAGGTACGTGCCCTTGCCTGGGAATTGAACCCGAGATCCTTCGGGCCCCTGGCCAGCGCTCTAACCACTGAGTTAATCCTCACCAGAAAATTTTTATTTTTTTCCATTGATGTTTTTAGAGAGAATGGAAGGGAGGAGAGAGGAGATAAAGAGAGAGAAGCATCGATGTGAAAGAGACACATCGACTGGTTGCCTCCCACGCGTGTCCCGACCAGGGCAGGGGATTGAGCCTGCAACCAAGGCACGTGCCCTTGCCTGGGAATCGAACCCGAGACCCTTCGGGCCGCTGGCCAGCGCTCTAACCACTGAACACACCAGTCAGGGCCCATGGCCGCTTCCTTTACTTACTCACGCACTTGGATGGCTTTGCGCAGGTTTCCGGACTCGAACTTGGAGGAGAACCACAGGCAGTTGGGAGCCGTGCCTTGCCTGTAAGGAAGGAGGGAATGTGGGCACGGGCATTACTGCTGCGCTTGGGTACGGAGTGACATGTCTGAGAGGTGAGCTCTCTCTTCTAGACTTTGAAGGCACATGCTCGCCCTGCTGAGGGTAGGAGCAGGGAGGCCTCGCGAACAGGAAGCACGCTCCTGTCTCATGGCGCTGACAGAATTCTCCATGCTGCACCCACCTCCCTCCCTTCCACGGACGGTCCTGTCCACCTACCAAGGCTCGTCTAAACTGAAGACGACTTTGTCTATCATGTCGCTGGGCTGAAGGAGCCTCCGGATATCCTCGAATATCTTGACCCTGCAAAGGAAAATTAGAAACGCTTTAAAGGTTGACCCTCACTCCTTACCCCACTCCTCCAATGATCCTCTTGGGCGTCATCAGAAACATAGGAAAGCTGCCCGGCGGGTGTGGCTCGGTGGTTGAGCATTGACTCAGGAACCAGAAGGTCGCTGGTTCGATTCCAGGTCAGGGCCCATACCCAGGTGTGGGCTCAATCCCCAGTAGGGGGCACCCTTTTGTTAATCATAGGGAAAAAAAAAACATATATGTGGCCCAGCCAGTGTGCTCAATGGTTTAGCACCTACCTATGAACCAGAAGGTCATAGTTCAATTCCCAGTCAGGGCATATGCTTGGGTTGCGGCCTCCATCCCTAGTAGGGGACGTGCAGGAGGCAGCCGATCAATGATTCTCTCTCATCATTGATGTTTCTATCTGTCTCTCCCTCTCCCTTCCTCTCTGATATCAATAAAAATATATCTTTTAAACAAAAAAGAAAAGAAGAGAAAAAACATAGCTCCTGAGTCGGGACCACCCTCACCTTTGGATCCCACGCTTGCGTTCCAGCAGGGGCTCCGGGGAGTGCGATGGGCAGTGGCCCCAAAGGTCAGGGAACGCCGGCGTCTTGAAGTCAGCCACGGACTTGGAGCCTCTGGCTTTGGCCAGATAGACAAAGGGGTCGTGGAAGGGGACATGCTGGGGGTGTGTTTGCAGAAGCTCATGGATCCTGTCCGCAGTGCGCCCAGGGGGAGTGGAGCTGGGAAGGGAGGCGCCTGTCCTTGCGCAGGAGGTCATGTCCATGTCCCAAGCATCCTCTTGGAGGAGAGTCTCAAGGTCAAGGACTTCCTTTCCGGAAGGATCCACCCCAAGCCCGTTGGGCTGGGCGTGTGGGTGCGGGTTCGTTCCAGGTCCGTTTTTGGAAACGGGGTGCACGGGGGACCTCCCCATCTTGGCCTTGCTCAGGAGGGACGTCTCGGGGGCAGCTTCCCTCTCCCGTCCCCGGGAGCTCTGGTCCTCATCCAGGCGACGCTGCTTCACGGAGGCGGCGGTTGGAATGTGGAGGTGGTTGGCGTCAGGGTGGGCGTCATCTCCGGGTGTGGGCTCCAGGTCCTTCGGGGGTAAAGCAGACGAGAACGTGTCAGTGTTTCCTCCCAGGGAGACAAGACGACCCCTCCCTGTCCTCACTCTCTGGGCACAGAGCTCAGCGTAAACCCTATGGATCAAGGAGCTTTCTCCAAGGCCCGCCACAGAAAGATTACTTTTCAAGAGTCAAAGACATGGCCCTGGCCGGTCTGGCTCAGTGGATAGAGCATCGGCCTGCAGGCTGAAGGGTCCCGGTTCCCTTGCTCAGGAGGGACGTCTCGGGGGCAGCTTCCCTCTCCCGTCCCCGGGAGCTCTGGTCCTCATCCAGGCGACGCTGCTTCACGGAGGCGGCGGTTGGAATGTGGAGGTGGTTGGCGTCAGGGTGGGCGTCATCTCCGGGTGTGGGCTCCAGGTCCTTCGGGGGTAAAGCAGACGAGAACGTGTCAGTGTTTCCTCCCAGGGAGACAAGACGACCCCTCCCTGTCCTCACTCTCTGGGCACAGAGCTCAGCGTAAACCCTATGGATCAAGGAGCTTTCTCCAAGGCCCGCCACAGAAAGATTACTTTTCAAGAGTCAAAGACATGGCCCTGGCCGGTCTGGCTCAGTGGATAGAGCATCGGCCTGCAGGCTGAAGGGTCCCGGTTCAATTCCCCTCAAGGGCGTGTACCTCGGTTGCAGGCTCGATCCCCGGCCTTGGTTGGCGCTCTTGTAGGAGGCAGCTGATGGATGTGTCCCTCTCACATCAATGTTTCGCTCTCTGTCTCTCCCCCTCCCTCCCCTCCACTCTCTCTAAAAATCAATGGGAAAATATCCAAAAGGTGAGAATTAAAGAGAGAGAGAGAGAGAGAGATTCAAACAAATGGCAGAATCAAAGAAACTCTCGTTTGCAGGGGCTTTGGGTGGGGCTAGTATCATCCTAAGGACAGGGATGCCTCTCCCACACCCCCAATACGTTCGTCCGTCTGGTTAAAGAACCTCACTTTTAGGGTCTTCCCAGCACCCCAAGGAAGTGCCTTTTTTTATAAATATATTTTATTGATTTTTTACAGAGAGGAAGGGAGAGGGATAGAGAGTTAGAAACATCGATGAGAGAGAAACATCGATCAGCTGCCTCCTGCCCCAGGTGACAGAAGGAAGATAGATCAATCTTGGGACACTCTTAGATCACATGTCTAGACACCTTCAAAGTGCAAGATTCTATAAATTAGAGAACTTGAATTTGAAGTTCTTTTTCATTATCAGTAGCCTAATGATTTTAGAATTAAGTTGACTCCAGAAATTCCAAAGTTTCTAAAGACTTGATAGGATAAGGCAATTTGTGCTGAGAACACCATTGATTAAGAAAGCTCTTACAGCCCTAACCGGTTTGGCTCAGTGGATAGAGCGTCGGCCTGCGGACTGAAGGGTCCCAGGTTCGATTCCGGTCAAGGGCATGTACCTGGGTTGCGGGCACATCCCTGGCAGGGAGTCTGCAGGAAGCAGCTGATTGATGATGTTTCTCTCTCATCGATGTTTCTAACTCTCTATCCCTCTCCCTTCCTCTCTGTAAAAAAAAATCAATAAAACATATTTTTAAAAAAAGACCAAAAGGCAGGTCTGAACTACTGTTCACACTTGGGTTTGAACCATGAACTACTGTTGGCAGCAACAGCCCCTGGATTCAATCACCAGACGTGAAGCTCGCAATTTGCTTCTACCGACAAGCAGCCCTGGCATCCGGCTGGGCCCCTTCCTTCGGAAAGCCGCCCGGCACCCGCTCCCCCTCTGACAAGGGAACAAGGAGATCAGCCGGAATCGAACCGTGACCTCATGGTTCGTGGTCGACGCTCAGCCCCTGAGCCACGCCGTTCGGGCCTTTCTCACATTCTCGTTGCCCTAACTGGTTTGGCTCAATGGATAGAGCAGGTTCCATTCTGGTCAAGGGCATGTACCTTGGTTGTGGGCACATCCCCAGTAGGGGGTGTGCAGGAGGCAGCTGATCGATGTTTCTCTCTCATTGATGTTTCTAACTCTCTATCCCTCTCCCTTCCTCTCTGTAAAAAATCAATAAAACATATTTAAAAAAACAAAAAAAAAAATAGATCAAAAGTCAGGTCTGAACTACTGGTGGCAGCAACAGCCCCTGGATTCAATCGCCAGACGTGAGGCTCGCAATTTGCTTCTACCGATAAGCAGCCCTGGCATCCGGCTGGGCCCCTTCCTCCGGAAAGCTGCCCGGCACCCGCTCCCCCTCTGACAAGGGAACAAGGAGATCAGCCGGAATCGAACCGTGACCTCATGGTTCGTGGTCGACGCTCAGCCCCTGAGCCACGCCGTTCGGGCCTTTCTCACATTCTCGTTCCACCTCCTGCTTCTCTCTCAGAAGCACGTGGCTAGGGGTGAGCCATGCGGCCACTCCATCTGCAGGCCCCGGTGTGGCCCCGGGTTCTGCAGAGGCCCCATCGTGGAATCACGCATCCCTGTGGGGGGCGGGAGGGGGGGTGCGCAGAACCGCAACGTAAGTCCCACCTCAAAGCTGCAGGAGAGCTCAAGGCACATGGCCTCGTACTGGCTCAGCTCCTCTTCGGGCCGGTCAAGTCCAGGTTTGGAGCTCAGCTTGTTGACGTCTGTTTCCAAGTCATCGTCCTGCAGCGGAACATTCAAGACACGTGTCACCACCGAGAAAGCCACCCGGAGACATCGGGACAGCATGTATACGGGACCCTTCACAGCCCTGGGACATGGGGTCCTTGCCTCTGAATTACAGTGCGGGCCCACGCAAAGGACAGTTTAATGGGTTGGGTTGTTTTTTAGAAACAAAAAAGGAGCCCAGCCAGTGTGGCTCCATGGTTGAGAGTCAACCTATGAGGCAGGAGGTCACAGTTCGATTCCCAGTCAGGACACATGCCCGGGTTGTGAGCTCGATCCCCAGTAGGAGGCAGCCGATCCATGACTCTCATCAGGGATGTTTCTACCTCTCTCTCCTTTCCTCTCAGAAATCAATAAAAACATTTATTAAATATTTATATTCTTGATCCATGGGAGTCGGGGACGGGGAAGGAAAAGAAATGCAATATTCCATCCATCTTCCACAATTTTCCTCCAAACCTCAAATTAAAAGAAAAAAGACAGATCCTGTGCGGGAGACTTAGTGGTATTTTCCGATGGGTACACACCAGGCCCACACTCTGCAGCCTGGTGGTGGGGCTCCCAGCTTTATCTCTCAGGCCCTCCTGGCCTCCACCATCTCTGGGGCAGCCTCGGCCGGGGCCCAGGCTGGCACCTACGGCAACACAGCTGGGCAAGTGCTGGGAAGTGGGGTCGGAGTGAAGAGAGGCTCGGGCCGGGCCGCAGCTGGTCCTTGCCCGTCAGATACACGAGTGGCTGCCACTCTCCATTAGACGGCCAGTCCTCCGGGAGCGGGCGTGAGGGGAGGGGAAGGTGGCATTGATGGATGGCTGCGGCAGCACGGCATTATTCAAATAATGCGGCGCGGACTCTGAGTCCCGCACTGCCAGCCTACAGCAAAGAACCAATTTTCCACCGATGACTTCAGAAATGATTCTATTCATCAGTGAGACCCGGAGAACACGGGAGTGTCAATGGCAGCCTTCACCTGCGAACCTGGCTAAGAGGGGGTCCTTATAGGTCAGCTACTGTCATCAGCAAGGTGAGTGATCGCTATATAGAGAACTCGGAAAGCCTCCTTCTCTCTAAAGAGACAGGTAGGCAGGCCAATAGGTAAGAAAAAAGAAAGGGAGGCGGGGGGGTGGATAGATGGATGGATGGATGGATGGATAGATGCATGGACAGATGCATAGATAGATAGATAGATGCACTGATGATAGATAAATAGATGCATAGATAGGTAGATAGAAGTATAGATGGATGGGTGGACAGATGCATAGATAGTAGATAGATAGATAGATAGATGCACTGATGACAGGTAGATAAATAGAAGATAGATAGATAGATAGATAGATAGATAGATAGATAGATAGATAATAGATAGATGCATAGATAGGTAGATAGATAGAGGTATGGGTGGATAGATAGATAGATGCATTGGTAGATGATAGATAGATAGATAGATAGATAATAGATAGATGCATAGATAGGTAGATAGATAGAGGTATGGGTGGATAGATAGATAGATGCATTGGTAGTAGATAGATAGATAGATAGATAGATAATAGATAGATGCATAGATAGGTAGATAGATAGAGGTATGGGTGGATAGATAGATAGATGCATTGGTAGATGATAGATAGATAGATAGATAGATAAATGATAGATAGATAGAGGCATAGATGGATGGATAGATGGATAGATAGGCACATAGATAGATGCATCGATAGATGGATGGATAGATAGACAGATAGATAGATAGATAGATAATTTTTAAATCCAGGTTTTATATCCAGGAATGTCTTAAAAGGTAGCATTTACTTCTCAGTCTTATTTTGAGGATGACAAAATTAAGGAACTATCACTTGAAAGGCTTGTCCAAGTTAAAGTCTACCAACACAAACGAAGACAGAATTAATAACCCTAGACAACGTTACCATTACTATAGAGCAGTGGTTCTTTAGTCAGGGGTGATTTTGCCCCACAAGGGACATTGGGTCCTTCCTGGAGACATTTTTGGTTCATGATGGGGTGGGGAGGGA